TTTACAGAAGTAGGGGAAGTCTTTTTCGATGGAGTGAAGGTATTGAGATCAGCGATTTATGTATAATATTGTTATTGTATGTTTTTGTTGTTTGCTCAAACAGGTTGGCGAATTCTTTTCTAAAATACTTATACTGAACTTTTAATTCAGAATTAAAAAAACCTCACTCACATAAGAGTCAGATCATTTTGTTTTTAATCTTTATCTTTTATTTCCCCAATTACTCTTGTTTCCCGATCTAGATTGAGGATGGCGTTCACCTGATGGGCGAGATCTATGAGGAGATGGTATACCTCTTCCCTTAGGAGCTGGAGGTTGGATTTTTCCAGTATGTCCTAAATCAAGATGATAGGGATGATCTTTCACTAATGGGATGTCTCTATGAATAAGTTTGGTAACTTGTTTGAGATATTTCATCTCATCTGGTTCACAAAACATGATCGCATGACCTTTGAGTCCAGCTCTTCCAGTACGTCCGATACGGTGGACATATGATTCTGGTTCGAGTGGTACATCATGGATGATGACATGTGATAGTTCATCGATATCGATACCTCTGGCTGCAATATCAGTGGCTACTAATACGCGTATAGATCCAGCTTTGAGACTAGCGAGTGCTTTCTGTCTGGCAGCTTGTGATTTATTTCCATGGATGGCTGCGCTGGAGATATTGTTTTGAGCGAGGATTTTTTCTACTTTGTTTGCTCCGTGTTTAGTTTTGGTAAAGACGACAGCGTTTTTGATATCCGTATTTTTGAGAAGATGGACAAGGAGATCTTTTTTGTTTTCTTTGCTGACAGTATAGAGTGATTGATTGATCGTATCGACGGTAGAAGAGACAGGAGTGACCGAAATATATGCAGGATTTTTGAGTAATCCATTGGCCAGATTCATGATACTAGGAGCCATCGTTGCTGAAAACAGGAGCGTCTGTTTGGCTATCGGAAGACGAGAGATGACTTTCTTTACATCATTGATAAATCACATGTCGAGCATACGATCAGCTTCATCGAGGATGAAAAACTGGACTTCTGTCAGATTGACAAATTTTTGATTGATCAAATCGAGCAATCTTCCTGGAGTAGCGATCAGGACATCGACTCATCTGTTGAGCATCTTGACTTGCGAATGCTGCGTGACACCACCGTAGATGACACCATTGGTGATATAACTTCACTTCCCATAATCAGTAAAACTCTCTCCGATCTGGATAGCGAGTTCTCTGGTCGGTGTG